ATTAAATATAGTATTGCGATCTTTTTACCATTTTAAAGTTATGTCAGTAAAAAACTAAAGATAAAAAAATTCTTTTGATTTTAATTTTTTACTAATTTTTTAAAACATTTGCATTGGTAATTTTATAAATAAGTTTTCGATAATTTTATAATAATAATATATATTAACTAATACTATTTAATTATGAGAGTTTTTTTTTTAAAAATAAGAAACTTACTTTAAAATCTCTTAAAAAATGAGTTTCAAATAGAAAAATTTACAATGAACATCTCACTTTTTAAAAGATTTTTATAATTAAATATTATTTAATAATTTATAAAAGATTTGCAATGCTATAGTCTTACTGCCTCATTTTGTACTGGTTTGTCTTATTTTATTGGTCACATAATTCAATAATTGATTGTATAATTTCTCTCACAATAGTATAAGTCACCAATCCAAGCATTGAAGATTGACATATCTTCTGTATTCCGATCCGACTCATCTCCGTTTTAATCCGTTGTAAATTTTAATATATCCAAAATTTCAGGTTTTGAATCAATACTTGATATATATATATATATATATATATATATATCTGCATGTGGAAGGTACTACGAGATGCTATTCCAGTGAAGAAAATCTATGAGCAAGAAACATCACTACTTTGGCAAAATGCCCCACTGTGATAAGCCAGAAATCACGCTCCACCTCTTTTCGAACATATCATCATCAACTAATTAACAGTTGATTTTTTTATTTGGGTACGATGACGTGATTAAGTCCCTAAGCTGACTAATCGCATTGTTGAATTAATACACATCCGTACAAATATAAATAAAGTAAATATTGCTCAAATAATTGAACTAGAGAATCTGAATCTCAACTAACTTAGAATATATTTAAAGTCAAATCTACATGTTTAGGAGTTTCTGGACGTCACATTTTGTCTGCTTTCGCGATCGAGCACCCTCATCAATGACTATGCCTGCAAATTTGCAATTTATGAATAGAATCTATAACTATTACTTCTTCTTTAAACACAAATATGTTTGCAAGTAAAAACTCAAAGCCGACAATGTATAGTCGACTAATTTATTATGGTCTAAAGTATATTTTATGAAAGATAATACTATATTTTATTTGACAAAAAAATAAAATAAGAACACTATATTTTCTTAGAGGTGTGTAGTATAATTAAAAATTCTATGATTGGTCATACATATGCAAGAAGGAGATTAAGGGACAAACGTTAGTCAACTTTGCCTTTTGGAGGTGACTTAAGCCATTGTCACTCTATTTAATCGTAGAGGTTAAGGCTTAAGTTTGGCCTTAAGTACACTTGTAAAGCTATAAATTCTAATCAATTTCTTTATATGCCCTTAATTCAGTTTTGATATTTTCCAAATATAAGAAAAAACCTCGAAATTTCATTTATTTAGAGAAGATTGCCAAACTTTATTATTTCAATGATGTCAGGTTATCAGTTTAGAGCAATCTAAAAGCAAACAAAATTTGGCGAAATATAGAATTTTTTTTATAACTTATACGCTATATAGTGAGAAACGCGGAGAAGAGAAACCGGAGAGATGACCGTAGATACTGAATGTCTCATATTTTCTTTGAAAACTTTTAAAGGTGTAACCAATTCCCCAATTAATAAGCCGCACCACGTATGTATGTAGCCTTACCAAAACGAATAGCCTCACTTGGGTTCGTATAAAAATTGCTAAAATATCTTGAAAACACTTATTAATTCATAGATAAATGTTTTTTGATGGTTGTTCGATTGGTCGAACCGAATGATATTTCATATTACTCAATGTTTTCTTGTATGTAGAACTGAAGTATCTATATATATATATATATTGTTGAAGAAGCATGTATATTTTATTTAACATTATTACCAAAAATTAAAAGGGTATATATATATATTTGTAAATCAGCAAAGAAAAGTGCTTAATCATCTACATATTTTGTATGGTGCATGTCGATAAGAAAAACCAAATGAAATAAAAAAAAATCTCACATAATGTATTGCTATAATTAATTATTTGACAAAGTCGTTGTTAGCTAAAAAATAAAAATTTAAATAATACAACAGTATAATGAATTTTAAGAAGTTTGACAACGAACATGCATCCGACTGTTAATAGAATAGGTAATTGGTTACTATAATTTTGAGACAATTAATTGAACCTTAAATAAATTCAGGTTACTTCCGTTTCAATGTCTATATATCGTCGTCAATAATTCACAGCATATGATTACGCAACTCATTACGTACATATTGGTTAGATGAATCACTGAATGCGTGCTGCAGATATTTAATATATAAACACGAATTTAAACGAAACCAAACTTACGTTTAAAATTATTTCTGAATAGAACAACCCAAAATAGTGTAAACTCTAGTCAGATATGAACTAGTTAAATCGTGTTGGTTTCATGTATTGGGAGCATTCTCAAAATTATTATAGCGCTAAACTTGTAAACTGTTGATTTACGACCATAATATTGATCGATTTCATGCCAAAACTAACTAATTTTTTTTCACAACAGAGTTGGAAAGTGATTCATGTATTTCTCTTGAATAATTACATAGTATATATATACATTAGCCGAAGAACGTCTATAAATGAATCAGTCTTGAATAATTACAGAGTTGGAAAGTGATTTATGTATTTCTCTTGAACTATAACTATGGTAACTAATTTTGTGCGACGTCTTAAGTCTTGTTTTTTGTTTTTTTTTTTTTTTTTTTTTTTTTTTTTTTTTGTAACTGATCGTAATTCTTGTTTCCTAAACATACTATTGGTGATATGATTCCAATAGATATGAACTAGTCGTGTTTGTTATGTGCATTATCAAAATTATTATAGCGCTATAGTGCTCTAAAGCAATAGGCTATTTTGTGATATCTATCATAGGTTTTGGAATACTATATGGTGATGCGATACTCTTGTTAGAAGCAAAGTCAAGTGGGAAGAAAAACTATCAGAAAAAAAAAGATCAGCATACAATTTGATATACAAGCCATGCTTCCTTTTCGGTTGGGATTTCTATATATACAAGAATCAAAATGTTACGGACTAAAATCAGCTCCATGTGTCCGAGTTGATTAAAAAGAAATATATGTATATATATAGTATACGATTTTTTTTGTATATATATACGAATTTTTTGTTCACTCATAACTTTATGATTGATTTTGAATAGAAACATAACCACTCCTTTGTTTGAACTCTAATTCGCTTTCTTTCAGTATGAGTAAAGGTCCTAGATTGGGAAATTATCAATTAAATGAATTTCCTTTTAGGTACCATATATGTTTATATTCGAAACTTTTACAAGACAGTATTCTATATACGGCTCCAAAAAAAAAAGAATGCTATTGTTTTTATAGTTTTCGCCTACTGATGCATAGATGGTTTTTTTTTTTTTTTTTTTGGAACATTTGCATAGATGATTGTTCTTTATCATTGATACAATATCAAAAATCAGTAAATAAGGGTCTTCAATATATGAATTATTATTCGAATCTGTTCTTCATAATTATCAAAGTCAAAAGATTCTCATTCAAGTCCAAAGCAAAATTGGTGGTAAAAAGACCATTATTTGATTTATCTTATTTTCTCATTTTGTTTAAATGTAAATAATTTAAATTATATATAATTTATTGTAAAGATTCTTTGTAAAAGCTATAAAAGCTTATTGTTCTTATTGTAAAAAGATATAGAAATTTTTGGAAATTAAAAGAGATTTTTCTCTAAACCTTTGGCTTTGTTTTTGTTTATCTAAGCAAGATGGAATTCTTCACTTAGTAAACATTTAAATCTATGTCTTTTGTGTGTGATGCCTTGAGACTAGGTTTGTGAATTCATCACAGAGGCTTTCACACCCTTGAGTGGTGTTTTTTGATCCACCCATCTATTCATCTCATCCACTAATCCAGTTTGAAAGAGACTTGAGTCCAGCAGGATTGATTCCATAATCATCCACTTCGATCATCTCTTAAGCAAGCAGAAAGAGACTTCAGTCCAGCTACTTGTTTCCACCCATTAACATATCAATTATAAGATCATACCTCTTTGATCTTATATCGATCATTTTCTGGAGTTTTTTAATTAAAAAACCAATAACATATATTTAATTATTCAACTTGTTCGGAACTTTATTACACAACCAAACTATTTAACGTGTTGGATACTCCAAAATTTTAATAACCAGAAAACGTATCAATGGTAGATGGTTTGCAATGTATTGTAATACCTTTCCTTTAACTAATCTCTGTCACTGCTTTTTGTTGGTTCTACGACTCCATCGATCAAGAACCACTCAGAAAGTCAGAATCTACTTTAAATCCGAATATATGTAACTATGTAAGTGTTATGTGTGAGCACTGACTCAGTTCAGGTAATTTGGTGGACAGAGAGAAAAGATGAAACAAAAAAACTTGCCTATTATTAGTATAGGCTCATTGGACGGTTGGTGTTATTTCACTTTTTTTTTTTCCCGTTTATGTTACACCTTATCTTGAAAGTATTCTTTTACTCTTTATTCATTTCCGATTTTTTTCACAATTGGAATATTACATTTTATCTTTTTCTTCGGGAATTCATAAGTGTAGAGGTAAATAAACGATATATCAGGCCCGATCTAAAAAAAAAAAAAACGAATATATCTTTGTCAATTTAAATAACAGTTATGCAACGGGAACTTCAATAATATTTTAGTTTTGCTGTTGGTTCGAAAATATCCAGAACATTGGTTTTTTTAAGATTGTTGAATCGTCAAAACGAATATCGAAAATAACAAAGATAAAAGAAAACTCTAAAATTTCATTAATCAAATATATATAATATGCCTGAAATGTGAAAACCATACATTCTTATAGTAACTTAAATAGATATATAAGATACGCTCATCATTATCTCATTTTCATTGTCTTCGACAGAAATAAATTCATATATACACATTGGCACAATTAAAAATACTATTCGATGATATTAATAATTTAGTTAGATCTTGAAGTTCAGAAATTTTGTTCTCACAGAAAGAGGGATTCGGACATTGTGAGCTCCATTGTCGGTCCAAGTCAAACTCCCAAAGAGATACTTAGTATTCGCTCTATGAGTCGTGGAGACTTTCACCGTAAATGTAGTCTTGTTAGAGTTGGAACTGAACTCAAGAGTCTCAGGACTCACCTGCACATTAATACCTTGAGGCGGTTGGATCACAGCTTTGTAAACCGAACCAACTGGTCCAACATTGGTTACGGTTCTAGTTATGGTGACCTCTTCACTGAGATATGGGATTGTGATGGAAGGCAAATTGACATCAAGCATGGATGGTCTTGGAGAAGGGCAAGTGTTGGCTTTTCCAAGTAGTTTTGAGATGGATCTATCGTCGTAGCCTGCGGAGCACAAGTAATGAACATATTCACCGTAGCCCATGTCGTAGACAAGTCCTGGGTCCGCTACTTTCACCGGATTCACGAGGCCGCCTCCGTAGTCAAACGAATCAGCGGGTTTGCTAGGGGTGCCCTCCGCTGCGATCGGCTCTCCCGATGGGTCCGTTTGAGATGCTGCAGTGGTTATCATTCATTCATCGGTATTTCTTTAGGAGCAAGAAACAAATAGTTTTGTGTGAATATGAGTTTATGTTTACCGGTTGTGACGAGAGCGGACCGAATCGCGGCAGGAGACCAGTCAGGATGTTTTTGCCTAAGAAGTGCGACTATTCCCGACACGAAAGGTGCAGCCATCGATGTTCCCGACTTGAACTCGTATCCTCCCTCTACAGCTCCAAGTATAGCTGAACCTGGTGCTGCTATATCCGGCTGTACTTAAAGCCACAAGCCAACTTCAGTACCTTAGGGGTAAAGAAGTTTAAATGTACGGGAGCAAAAGTAACTTAGGGGATAATACTTTACCTTGAGTATGGCAGGAGATACTGAATTGGGACCTCTAGACGAATATTTTGCGACTTTAGTTGCAATAGGTCGGCCAACGAATGTCTTGGTTGGGCTGATCTTAGCTTTTGGAGATCTGCGGAAATCATTCAAAGGAAAAATATTACAAAAGAATTCATAATTTTGGAGATTACAAATAGTGTAAAGAAGGAGAAACCTACTTGGTTGTTTGGATATACAGCATAATGTCCATCCCAAGTTCGTAGTCTACATAGGCACAAGCCATACCTTCCATGCACGGTGTTACTCTATCGCTTGGCTGAGTCGCGATAATGACGCCAGCCGCGCCTTCGGTGTGCTCGAAAATCGCAAATTCAGTATCATATTTGCCTCTTTGGAAGAATAACAAGATCTTCCCTTTAGCTTTACCGGCTTCAATATCCGCCTTTTTCAAGTCGTCGAAGTAAAGAAGATCAGTGAATCCGACTTCTTTTTCCGTGAATAGACCTTCTTGACCCTGAGAATGAGATCCCACAAAAAATTAAGAGTCAAATAAACAGTTACATTAATTGTTTCTATCACAAGCTACCGAATACGTACCAGGATTGTTATGTTATTTCCAAGAGTGATGGGCGTGAAGTAGTCTCGGTCCATGGTCGTAGCCGCGACGGTTATGACCCACGGAGCAATGTTAGAGATAGTTTGAGCCTCGGGACCATCATTCATTCCTGAGCATACTACCGGGATTCCCTTCATAACGGCGTGGAAAGCAGAGATCGATATATCGTCCTTATCAACCTCGAATTCAAAGGGTACAAGGTTACCAATCGAGATCGATATAACATCGACGCCATCGCGGATGGCGTGATCCATCGCCTTTAATAAATCCGGTGTAAAACAGTCCTCGTTGTTCCAACACACTTTGTAAGAGGCTAGACGGGCCCGAGGGGCAGCTCCCCTTGCGGTTCCCTGACCTAGACCAAAGTAACTCGCGTCTTGAACAAAAGAACCCGCGGCAGTCGATGCAACATGTGTTCCGTGGGTACTTTTGTCCAAAGGGGACAAGACATCGTTTATCTCTGCCCAGTTGACCGTTCCATTGTACTTTTTGAGGAGACCCTTTGCGTAGTACGTAGCTCCGATCAACTTTCTGTTGCAGCTCGATGCGTTGAACCCTTCTCCTGAAACACACCGTCCTTTCCAACGTGCTGGGATCGGTCCAAGACCCTTGTCATCAAATGACCTCCCTGGCCATATTCCTGAGTCCACGACTCCTATGATTGCTTCACTTCCCATATCGGTTTCTTGGAGGAGACCCGCTGGCGCAGTTGAAGTGAATCCCAAGTAATCACTAACCCTTGTTGTTTGCATCTTCATATTCTTGCTTCTAATTACGTGGACAACATGCGGATTCTCTATTTATAAATCCAAATCCGAAGTGAATAATTTAATTAGTACTGTTTCTTTGTTTGACCTAATTCTTCTGCAACATGTTTTGTCAAATTGAATGATTTTGATTTACCTGAGAGTTCCCTTGCTTGAGATGATGTGAGTTTTGCTGAAAAGCCTGAGAAACCATGCCTATAACTATAAACCATAGACTCACGGGAAGCTTTTTTGCTGCATCATCAGGCAAAACATTCAAAATCATAAAAACCAACTTCTGTTCATAAAAACATTCAGTGATCATGATTGCTTTTACCTTCCAAGAAGCGAACCGAGAATATCATGATGTGAAGCAGTAACAAGATTAGGATCATCGTGTTGCCTCTCACCCAAATGCACCGTGTAGATCTAAATATAATACATCATGGGGAAAATTAATATAGTGAAATTATTTGCAATTAATTGCAGATTAAAAAATCGAAAATCAAACATATAGTTAACGTACCTGGCTTTCCTCATTGGCAGCAGAAATTAAGGCTATCTTCAAGATACATACTAAACCTATGAACAGAACCACAATATGCTTCCTACTATTTGATACAATCAGAGAAGACAACTCCATTTTACTCTGGGTTTTAAGAGAGATGTTGCTGAGGCTGATTCTTTCTCTAGAAGAATCGTCCAAGAATATTTGGGTTCTTATTCTCGCGCCTCCTCAACAATGATTGCGCCCCAGAAGCACAATGATGATTGTGTTCAACCCATCTCGTATTTATATGGAAGGATTTAGTTTAGAATGTTGGTAGTTTTTTTTAGATTACAACGGAAATAGGAAATAACACCAAAGCTAAACTGTTAATTTGGGACTACTTTGGTTGATGGTTTAGGACAAACGGATTTGTTTTTACTGGAATGGTAACATCAACATAATTATACGATATTTTCTATATATAGTACACGACTCTTTTTTTTTCACTCATAATTTTACGATTGATTTTGTATAGAAACAAACCACTCGTTTGTTTGGTCTCTGATTCGAATCACATTCAGATCTCTTCTTCCCTTTTCTCATAAGTATGGGAAAATATCAATTGAAAGACCATTTCTTTTGAGGTACACTAGGAACTTCAAGAAGACAGTATTCAGTATTGTTTTGAAAAGAAAAAAAAAGATGTTATTGTTTGTTGGGTGAATTTGGTGAATAACCAAAATAAAGCTATAATTAAAAACTAACTAAATGCCTAGAAAAAGATAGGGAGATATAGAGATAGAATAACAGGAAATTGATTAGTTTTTATATTATAGTTTTTTTGGTTTTTGAACCAAATTACCCCTGTTTTATATTTCTCTCACTAGCTGGTGCATATGGTTGTTCTTTATTATTTTCGAGAGTTCTTATATAAGCAGTTTATGAAAGAACGAAAACGTACAACTCAATAACGTATAACGTATATCTAGTTAATCAACTTGTTAGGAATTTTATCACACAACCAAACTAATTAACATCTTGGAGATTCCATATTTTTATATTTATAAATCACAAGTCAATTGACAATTATGTCAGTTTGACATGTATCATTCATAATTTTATATTAAAATACTTTTCTTTTTTATATTTTTATAATTTCTTAATTGATTATAATTTTTTGTTATTTCAATTTTCTTTTGTTGGATCTACGATCCATAATATTTCAAATTTATCTAATAAATCCCTATATTTTCTCAAGTAACTGTTATTACATTCTTCATAGTCCCTGCAATTTAATAAGAGAGAGAATAAAAAACACGGTACTTTCTTCAATCATCATATATTACGGAATCACCAAAGAAAAAAAAAGTCATCCAGTTATTCTTCTTGGTGCAAAAATCAAAATGTTTGCTATAATAAATTTCACAATCTTCTTTCTCTCAAATGAAAAGTGATGATTTTAGGGCACTCAGTGCTTTAAATTCACCAGAAAATATGACGATGTCATGGATTGCTTTTCCTCAGTTTCGGATAGAGCAAGAAGACAATAGTATATGGTATCTGAAACAACTAAAAAGTGTTCAAATTTTTCGACTAAACGGTAATACTCACACAGGCTTCAATGGAAAACAATAATAATTACTTAATTTTGTTTTCTAACATGATATTTTTCACATATTGTAGATATAAAAATCAAAGCGAGATGGTGAAGCGTATCGTACCTCCAATCTCTTTATTTGTGTGTTATTCAAATTCTTACTTGAAATATCCGATCATGAGAGTAAAAGATTTGGCTGACTGAACTATACATGTTTAGAAACAGTTAGCTAGAGAATCATTAAGCAGACCTAGACACAAAATTCATCATGACAGACGGGTCTACTACTAACATGATATCTCTCAATAAGACACGATAAATGTAAACCCAACAATTGATATTGATATATATATATATATATATATGTTATTTTTGATTTTTCATAAAATTAGTATATATATCAAATTACATTTTATCAAATAAACTTTTTATATTAATTTTAGTTATTATAGTATTTTTATTTTATTTTGAAATATTTAATTATTTAGAAATTTTTGAAATTTTTGAAATTATTTAAATTTTAAATAAAATTTTAATTTTGCATATTTTACTTTGAATTTTTTAATATTTTAATCATACTTATAATAAAATTTTAGTAAATTAATATTTAGATTAATATTCTTGTTCTTGTTTAAAAAATCGAATTTTCTTATTTTTAAAACTCTTTCCTATTCACAATTAATTTTTAGAAAATTTTCATAATATAAGTAAAAAAAGTATTTGAGTTACTTTTTATTAACAAAATTAACCTTAGTTTTGTTATTTTAATTATTTGTTTTATTTCCTCAAAATAAACTTAAAATAATTTATATTAATAACAAATAATAATAATTTCCTTTAATTGTCGGATTACTAAATTTTTATTTCACTTTTAGAAATAGTAATATATATTTTGTTTATTTTAGGATTATTCAAAAAATAAATTTATATTATACCATGGATTTAAATTGACATGTGTTATGATCTTATGCATTACTAATTTGACACATGTAATGCAACTTTATATCATAAGATATATGATAAATCAAATATACATAGTATATAAGATACGCTCATCATTATCGCATTTACATTGCCTCCGATAGAAACAAATTCATATACACATTGGCACAGTATTTTTTGATAATATTAAGAATTTTGTTAGATCTTGAAGTTCAAAACTCTTGTTCTTACAGAAAGAGGGATCCGGACATTGTGAGCACCATTGTCGGTCCAAGTCAAGCTCCCAAAGAGATAATCAGTATTCGCTCTATGAGTCGTGGAGATTTTCACCGTAAATGTAGTCTTGTTGGTGTTGGAACTGAACTCAAGAGTCTCAGGACTCACCTGCACGTTAATACCTTGAGGCGGTTGGATCACAGCTTTGTAAACCGAACCAACTGGTCCAACATTGGTCACGGTTCTAGTTATGGTGATCTCTTCACTGAGATATGGGATTGTGATGGAAGGCAAGTTGACATCAAGCATGGATGGAGTTGGAGAAGGGCATTTGTTGGCTTTTCCAAGTAGTTTTGAGATGGATCTATCGTCGTAGCCTGCGGAGCACAAGTAATGAACATATTCACCGTAGCCCATGTCGTAGACAAGTCCTGGGTCCGCTACTTTCCCCGGATTCACGAGGCCACCTCCGTAGTCAAATGGGTCAGCGAGTTTGCGTGGCGAACCCTCCGCTGCGATCGGCTCTCCGAATGGGTCCGTTTGAGATGCTGCAATGGTTATCATTCATTCATCAGTATTTCTTTAGGAGCAAGAAATAGCTACTTCATTTCTTGGGTAGCAAGAATCAGATATTTTTGTGTGAATATGAGTTTATGTTTACCGGTTGTGACGAGAGCAGACCGGATCGCCGCAGGAGACCAGTCAGGGCGTTTTTGCCTAAGAAGTCCGACTATTCCCGACACGGTAGGTGTAGCCATCGATGTTCCCGACATGAAATCGTATCCTCCCTGTGATGGTACAGCTGCAAGTATACCTGAACCTGGTGCTGCTATATCCGGCTGTACTTAAAACCACAAGCAAACTTCAGTACCTTAGGGGTAAAGAAATTTGAATGTACGGGAGCACAAGTAACTTAGGGGATAATACTTCACCTTGAGAATGGCAGGAGATATTGAATTGGGACCTCTAGACGAAAATTTTGCGACCTTAGTCGATGAAGGTCGGCCAACGAATGTCTTGGTAGGGCTGATCTTAGCTTTAGGAGATCTGCGAAAATATTTCATAGGAAAAAGATATCTATTAAAACAAAAGAATTCATAATCTTGGAGATTAGAAATAGTGTAAAGAAGGAAAAAAACCTACGTGGTTGTTTGAATGTACAACAAAATGTCCATCCCAAGTTCGTAGTCTACAAAGGCACATGCGATATCTGCTATGCTCTGTTCAATAGCATCGCTTGGCTGAATTGCAATAATAACGCCAGCTGCCCCATTCGATTGCGCGAATTCAGCAAAATCCTCTTGAAATTTAGGTGTTTGGAAGAAAAACACGATCTTCCCCTTAGCTCTACCGGCTTGTAAATCCCCTTTGTTCAAGTCGTCGAAGTAAAGAAGATCAGTGAATCCAACTTCTTTTCCCATGTATAGGCCTTCTTGACCCTGATAGTAAAATCCCACAAAAACTAAGTCAAATGAACAGTTAGATTTGTTTGTATCACAAGCAGCCGAATACGTACCAGGATGGTAATGTTATTTCCAAGAGTGATGGGCGTGAAGAACTCTCTGTCCATAGTCGTAGCCGCGACGGTTATGATCCACGGAGCAACGTTAGAGACAGATTGAATCTGGGGACCATCGTTACCTCCTGCACATACTACGGGGATTCCCTTCCTAACGGCGTGGAAAGCAGCGATAGCGAAATCAGTTCTATCAACCTCGAAATCAAGCGGTACTTCGGATCCAAGCGAGAGCGATAGAACATCGACGCCATCACCGATTGCGTGATCCATCGCCTTTAAAATATCCGGTGTAAAACACTCCTCGTTGTTCCAACACACTTTGTAAGAGGCTAGACGGGCCCGAGGGGCAGCTCCCCTTGCGGTTCCCTGAGCTAGACCAAGGAAATTCGCGTCTTGAACGAAAGAACCCACGGCAGTCGACGCACAATGTGTTCCGTGGCCAACTTTGTCCAAAGGGGACAAGACCTCGTCTATCGCTGTCCCGTTAAACGTTCCATTGTGCTTTATGAGGAGAGCCTTTGCGTAGTACGTAGCTCCGATCAACTTTCTGTTGCAGCTCGATGCGTTGAACCCTTCTCCTGAAGCACACCGCCCCTTCCAACGCGCTGGGATCGGTCCAAGACCGTTGTCATCAAATGACTTCGACCCTGGCGTTATTCCTGAGTCCAGGACTCCTATGATAGCTTCACTTCCCATATCAGTTTCATGGAGAAGACCCGTTGGAGCGGTTGGAGTGAGTCCCAAGTAATCACTAACCCTTGTTGTTTTCAGCTTCATATTCTTGCTTCTTGTTACATGAACAACATGCGGATTCTCTATTATAAATCCAAATCCGAAGGGGATAATTTAATTAGCACTGTTTCTGAGTTTGACCTAATCCTTGTACAACACGTTTTGTTAAATAGAAAGGTTTTAGATTGACCTGAGAGTTCTCTTGCTTGAGATGATGTGAGCTTTGCTGAAAAGCCTGAGAAACCATGCCTATAACTATAAATCATAGACTCGCGGGAAGCTTCTTTGCTGCATCATCAGTCAAAACATTCAAACTCATAAACCACTTGTTTTTCTTTTACAATCATGATCATCTTCGGACATAACACACCAATGCTCATGATTGATTACCTTCCAAGAAGCGATCCGAGAATATCATGATGTGAATCAGTAACAAGATTAGGATCATCATGTTGCCTCTCACCCAAATGCACCGTGTAGATCTAAATGTAAACATCATTGGGAAATTTTAAAATAGCGAAATTATTTGCAACTAACGTCTCTTTCTTTTATTGCAGAAATTAAAGATCGAAAATCGAACATATTTAACGTACCTGGCTCTCTTCATTGGCAGCAGAAATTAAGGCTATCTTCAAGATACATACTAAACCTATGATTAGAACTACAATATGCTTCCTATTATTTGATACAATCAGAGAAGACAACTTCATTTTTTTCTGGGTTTTAAGAGATGTTGAGGCTGATTCTTGTTCTAGAAGAATCTTCCAAGAATATTAGGGTTCTTATTCTTGAATCTCCTCAACGATGTCCTCTCTGATTGCATCCCAGAAGCATAATGATGATTGTGTTTAACCCATCTCGTATTTAAAATGAAGGATTTAGTTAAGAATGTTGGGAGCTTTTTTTAGATCACAACGAAGATAGGAGATAACACCAAAGCTAAATTGTTAATTTGGGACTACTCTGGTTCATGGTTTAGGACAAATTAAACAGATTTGTTTCTTTTTATATAATTATAGGTGTAGAATGAAAACGAGTTAAGACTTAAAACTGTTGTTTCCTTTCATTATCTGTCAAACCCATGTTTATTAAATAAACTAGGTATTTATCCGCGCTACACTGCGGGATATTTTTCTAAATTTTGAATATATTTTTAATATAATAAATTTATTTTTATAATATAAATGAATATTATATTTATTTTTCATTAACTTAAGTTATGTATATGTTTTCAATTTGAATAAAAATTGTATATTTTATAATTTTTTTCTAAATTTTGAATATATTTTTAATATAATAAATTTATTTTTATAATATAAATGAGTATTATATTTATTTTTATTAACTTAAGTTATGTATTTATATGTTTTTAATTTGAATAAACATTGTATATATATATTTTTTCAAAATTATAATTTGCTATTAAATTTTTTTCGCTAACTAATTATATATGTATATGTAAGAATAAAGCAATATATTTTTAATACATTTATGTTAATGACAAATATAATCTGTTTCTTCCAATAAATTATTAGTTGATCCTTTTTTGTAATTATATAAAGCAAAATGCTATTTAAAAAAAGATCTCTTAATTAATATAATTATCTTGAATTATAAAATTTATTTTATTATCAAATATTTGTTATAAACATATGTTCTAAACTGTAATCAATAACATTCATATCAAAACCATTGTTATTATTGCTTTAGAACTAAATAGAAAACTCTGTTTGAACTATTGAAATATTATTTTAGTTGAAGTTAAATAATTAAATTTCGGTTACTATAAACATACTTTAACTTAGAAATTTAGCACATAAAATTTTCATCTTCTTACTCGGAGAAATGAAAACCGAGAAATCGCATTTCCCATCAAAACTAAAAAAACTTCATTTTCTCATAAAACTGAGAAAGCACATATTCCCGCCAAAACAAAAAAAAAAACAATTTCTCTTCAAACCCAAAACATAAAATTCCATTTTCCCGCGAGAACCTGTGTTTTCTCGCCAAAACCAAAAATCACCCTTTTTCACCAAAACCAAAAAAAATTCATCTTCGTGCAAAAACTAAAATATCATATTTCTCCGTCAAAACCGAAAATTTATTTTCCTGCAAAAACTGAGAAATCCTCGATTCTCGCCAAAACCAAAAATTTATTTTCTCGTCAAACCAAAAATCATGATTTCCTACCAAAACAAATAAACTACAATTTCCCGCGAAAACATAAAATTGCATTATCTCTCGAAAATTGTGATTTCTTGTGAAAACTAAGAAACTTCATTTTCCCGCGAAAATAAAAAAATCACATTATTCGTCAAAAACTGAAAATTTACATTTTTCATCTAAACCAAGAAATTGATAATTCCCGCCAAAATCGAGAATTTTTTCCCCATCAAACCGAGAAATTGCATTTCACGCCAAAATCGTCAAATTCCAATTTTCCGCAAAAACTAAAAATTCATAATTTCGTGCGAAAACCAAGAAATCGCATTATCCGTCGAAAATTTGCATTTCCTATTAAACTGAGAAATCACATTTTTTGTCAAAATTAAAAAGTTGCATTTCTCATCAAAACCGAACATTTTCCTGTCAAAACAAAGATATTTTGTTTTTTCTATCAAAATTATATTTTTTGTTTTCTCACCAAAACCAAAAATTCACATTTTCTCTCCAAATCCGAGAATTCGTTTTTTTCTGCCATAACCGAGAAATTAGATTTTCCTACCAAAACTAAAAATCACATTTTTCTACCGAAACCAAAATCAGAAAATTGTTTTCCCATCAAAAACAAAGATTTAGTTTTTTGATTTGTTGTTGTTTATTCTTTGGACTTAAGTTTGACAAAAAAATAAAATAAATACTTTGTTATTTACTGTTATTAATTATTTGGGCTTGATTTTGATAAAAAATAAAAAAAGATCATTAGAAAAAATATTTGGGTTTTTAATGGATTTAAGTTTAAAAGTTAAAATAAGTAAATGTGTTGTATTAATAAAATGTTTTGATTGGTGAATATTTCTGCTGAGGTGTCATCTTCATAAAGCTACAAAATACTGATGTGTCATCTCTAGGAGAGACATTAGTGTTATTGTTGTATTGATTTTCAAAAATTAGAAAGTTTTTTATATTTACTGAAAATGAAACGATTTTGGGAGTAAATGATTGTAAACTATTTGTTATTAGGTATTTAGCCCTAGATGATTAACTTATAAAATTAACTTTTGTTTTTTTTTAAAACAGGCAAATATATATATATATATATATGTATTTGTATATATAGAAAGTAAGTTTTTTTTCTTCTCGACTGCCACCTCAGCAACTACATCATTAATTGTTTCTTATTTAAATCTTTTTAAACACATAAATTAACATTAACGTTAACATTCAATATAAAATATAACTAATATTAAAAGACAAGTATATAATACAAAATTAATATTTAACATTCAATATAAAAATAGTAAATATTAAAAGATAATTATAATGTGTTGTTATAAAATCAAAAATCAAAAAACAATTGATACACATTAGCTATGAGTATTTCAAGATTCAAAGACAAAATTTATTAGTATGTGACCGGAATTGGAAATTAGAGAGATGGAAAACAGTTCCTAACAAACTATTAATAAAAATAGAACAGGAAATTCTAGTAACCAGACAGATACAAGAAAGGGCAATTTCTATAATTACACTGAAAATAAATTTTCAGGACGAATATAACAGGGAAGCTATAATTTTTGCACTCCTAACATTTTTCATTTGAGTTTTCCGATTTTATCCTTTAGGAAAGTATTCCTAAGGAAAGTATTCCTAAATATTTTTTTTTCTGTTAATATTTTGTGATTTTTTTAGGAAGGTCTTCCAAATACTAGAATATAACATCGTTTCATATGGTTTAGGAAAACTTTCCTAATTTTTTTTTAAATTTTCTGAACTGTGGAAGGGCTTCCTGAATTGTGGAAGGGTTTCCTGAATAGTGGAAAGGCTTTTTGAATTTGAGTTGTATAAATTAACAAAAATAATAATCAATTATGCAATTTATGAAGGCATTCCTAAATACATGTAATGATTTCTTTAATTAATATATTTTAGAAAAGTCTTCCTAAAACTTTAGAACATCTTCCTAAATTAACGCTCATCTCCTTCCTCACCTTTGCGATATCCAAACCCTAATTTCCGCCGATTTTTTTTTTTATTTTCACCATTGTTGTTGTTTTAGCTCGGGTTTTTTTTAGTTTTTCACCCAATTATATCAGATCTATCTATCATTATATGATTTTGAGCTTTAAATCCCGAAATCATTTTTTCATAAAAAAACCTCAAAAATTTAAGAGATTCACAATCACAAATCACAATCAAATGAGAAAAGTGATCCTAAACAAAACAAATAATTTGATTTCAGACCAGTCTTGACCATTGATACATTTGTTTGTATATTATTTTTCTTCTCGTTTTACTAACTAATATTTTGTCTAACTAAGATTAATATGGTACAAAATGTTATGAAAGGAATTTTTTAGAGTGTTAGTGTATATATGGAACAAAAACTTAGATTAGATGCATTTGAGGGAATTTCTCTACAAGAAATTACATTATCAAAAATCTATTAACAAACTCTCAATAATTTGAATAAAAGTCAACTTCAAAAAAAATATTTTGGGAAAATTACGGAAAAGCAAGGAATTTTTTTTGAAAAATTATACATAATTTAATAAAATCTAATCTTTTATACATATATATATAGCATTTATTTTTGCTTCTGTCTCCACCTCATCATTAAATATTTAACAACACTGACTAAATAATTTGAAGTTGAATTCTACTATCAAACTCAAACCACGAAGCTTAAATTCGATGCAACCAACATTTGAATTTTGACCAATAACTAAAGCCCAGATTGCACCAAATTACATACTATAAATCTTTTCTATAATGATAAACTTCATGATCAAGCAAAGTATAGCAATAACAACTATCATACAGAATAACATTCAATTTATAAACCAGTTTAATGTTATGATAACTACGGTTAGAAAACAAAAAAAATATACAATTTTCTATCAAACCCAACTACAACAAGAATAAATAACAACCAATAATTTTTAACTGTTGTTGGATAATCACAATTGGGTGAGAAAGACTTTGATAAATAATATAATCGACCACAAATTTAACCAAAACATACTTCAATAAATATCAATGATCAAAGTACGGAACTTTGAAATACAAGTATCAACAACTCAAAATAAAAAAAAAATAACTAAATAATTTAATAGATTAAATTTAAATAAACAATATTTGAAAGCTGAGAACAAAAAATCATCTCTGAAAACCGATGTGGCAAATAAAACAACATCAAACAACAGAAGTTACAGCAACATTTGATGAGAAAAGAGAGAAGAAAACATAGATAAAACAATACAATTACACCTACCAAATATATAAAGTTATTATTCTTCACTTTTATTTATGCTACTTGACCATCTATCTTATACTCAAACATTTCACAATACAAACTATAATTTATAATCAAAGTTCACTATCAATAGCACAAGCCCAACTTACGCAAATTGTAGTATCATCAATTTATTTCATAAACATAAAAGAGAAGGGGAAAAGTTCTCCATAATCAGGTAGAGTGTAACAATCAGAACTATTTCACAACCTACAAAATCATATGTAATTTTTAATTAGATTTAAAGTTACAACA